TGCATTGAGAGAGCGAACGTTGAGGAGGGCAATCGTAAACTCGTTGGAAGAGTCAACGTCTTCTCGCAGAGATCGTTGATACTGCTGCGTCACGGTCGGTAATCGATGTCGGCCTAGACGTTGAAACTCGTTCAGCATCGCCGTGTCCTCGTTCTTGTCTTTATGGTAGAACCGCTGGTCTCTTTTTGCATTGGTGAGGTACAGGTTATTTACGTTGGTGCAGCGGCTGAGCGCGACGTACACCAACTTCTGGGGGTGCGTTTTATTATATTCATAGACAATTGACGAGTACGTTCCCCCTTGGGACTTGTGGACCGTAATGGCACTGGCCTGAACGAGGGGGAAGTGCCTTCTCTTGCAGGCAACGCCAGTCTTGCGATCCAAGGTTAGGGTGGTAACACGAGGTTCGATGGGGACCCAGAAGGCGTCGATGACGTGACCACTCCGCTTGGCCTCGTTCACCATTCGCTTGGACCGAAGACGAGTAAGCTTACCCGTGGTTGTTGCGTCGTCAAAGTGTAACCAGAGGCGTTTCGGCAAGTCGCCGTCGTTTACCGCTCTCTCGCACACCTTGAGAATGCCAACAGCCCCATTGATGAGACCGTCTATGACGTCAATGTTGGTGGTAATCATGTGCGGTTTGCCGAGGACGATGAGAGAGAGAGTAAAACTTTATTGAAGGGGAAAGGGAGAGGGGCGTTTTAGAGCCTTTATGGTTGGGGCCCTACGTCCAGGGCTCCACTGGCCTTAGCCGCCCGCCGGACTTGATCCAGTAGTGCGAGCTGCACTCCTGGGTCCGAGCTAGCGAGGTGTGCCCTCCCACTGCTCCATACTAGGTGTTAAAGGTTCGCCGAGAAAATTGGTTTATGTCACTTGGTTTACGATCGCACCCCCACGATATGTGGTAGAGAGTCGGTCTTCCGCCGCACCACGGACATACAGCCGGGTAAAGAGTTGGATGTATCGCGTGTAACTTCAGTAGGTGCGGAAATACATCCGTTTGAATTTTTCTAAGGTCAGTGGCCTCTTCCCCATTAAGGGATCTGTGAGGTGTTCCACATTTTTGACGCGTGAAGCGCTGGTGAGCTAGAATCTCCTAGGTAAAATTGGCATGGTCAATGAAAGAGATGGATTCTCCGCTCGGTTACAAAACGCACGAGCTAGAGCGTCCGCCCTTTCATTGCCTTCGAGACCTGCGTGTCCCGGGCACCAGATCAAGCGATGGTGGTGAGTGAGTTTGGATCCTAGCAACCTCAGCCCCATTGCTGGAAGGCGGCCCCTTAAAAAGAGCCGGCAGGCTTCCTGGGAGTCGGATAAAATAACTGATGGCTCCCCTCTACGCTCCTGAAACCTTAAGGCTAAGGCTATGGCCATCGTCTCCGCCTTTGTAGCCGAGGTCGTGCGTACGGAGGCACTCGTTAGCAGCGTCATGTTGTTGTCGACAACAGTAATTATGTGTCTCTGCCAATCGAAACTGGCCGCATCGACGTACGCGACATTTGAAGCTGAGCCGAATTGCTTTCGAAGCCAGTTTACCCTCGCAGTACGTCGCTCAGCGTGAAAGTCGTGATGCATATTTTTGGGCACCGGTGCGATTGAGATTCGCCTGCGGACCTCTTGGGCTACGTCGACCAGCTCCTCATCAATGTGCTGTGGGTGGGGCGAAATTCCTATTCTAGTGAGTATCGCCCTGCCTGCTGAAGTTTCACTTAGACGATTCCTCTGAGACATGAGGACTGCGGCACTGAGCTCAGCATAAGTGTTATGTATACCGAGAGCTAGGAGCCGCTCGGTCGGTGTGCTGGTGGGTAGACCAAGTGCTGCCTTAAAAGCGCTTCTAATGAGCACATCCACCTGGCTCTCCTCACTTCTGTCGAGTGAGTGGTACGGTAGGCCATACGTCACTCTGCTCAAAACTAAGGCCTGGACAAGCCGGAGAGTATCCTTTTCTTTCATGCCTTTTTTATGATAAGTGATGCGACGGATCATTCTAGCTATCTGTTTAACCGTAGTCTTTAAGGTGGTTATCGTGTGACTGGCTTTGCCATTGCTTTGGACCCAGAAGCCAAGTATACGGGCCTGAGTAACCTCGGCTATGGCATGGCCGTCTACCTGTAAGTTTATGGCACCGTTACTTTTGTAATACTTACTGTGTATTCTTATGAGTTCAGATTTTTCAGGCGCACAGCTCAGCCCACTATTTCTTGCGAACTCTGCCACAGCTGTCGCAGCAGCCTGGAGGGTCTGCTCTTTCAGCGCCAGTGAACCCTTCGTAGCCCAGAGTGTGATGTCGTCCGCATACAATGTATATCCAAGGTGCGGGATTGCTTCGAGCTCGTGAGCAAGTCTGCGCATAGCTATGTTAAAGAGCAAGGGGGAGATGACTGCCCCTTGCGGTGTGCCTTTATTTGGCATCGAGAACGGCACCGACCTCGTGTCGCCTATCCCAATAGTTGCCGTCCGCCCAGAGAGGAAGGATTTAATGTAGTTAAATGTACGCTTTCCGCAGCCGATTGTGTTGAGTTCAGAGAGAATGGCCTCGTGCGAAACATTATCAAAGGCCCCTTTGAGGTCGAGGGCCAAGACCAAATGTTCGCCTCCCCTGGGTACGCAAACTCATGACCTCTTCTTTTAAAAGGAGGAAGGCATCCTGGGTTGAGAGTCCGGAGCGAAAACCAATCATGGTAGCGGGAAACAGATTTTCTTTTTCAATGTAATTTTGAAGCCGTGTCTGTATTACTCGCTCGTAGAGCTTGCCCATGCACGAAGTAAGCGAAATGGGCCGCAGGGCTCCGAGCGATGGTGCTTTACCGGGCTTTGGTATAGTTATTATTTTGGCTTCCTTCCACTCCGGAGGAACGTGACCTTGGGACCAGCAGTGGTCGTTAAGAAATTGCGTTATCTGCTCAAGAACCTCAGTGCTGAGGTTTCTTATCATAGCGTTTGTTATACCATCCGACCCCGGCGCAGAGTTCCGATTGGCTGCCTGGGCTGCCGCGAAAACCTCTTCTTTCGTGATTGCGGCGTCTAATGTGGCATTCTCGCTGCCGATGTACTCTAATGTACATGGCGGAACCACATCAGTACCGATATAACGGTCTTTAAGCGCCTGGATCAACTCTCCGTCGGTGCCGGGGTAGCTGTGTACTATTCTTTGAAGAATGCGGTTCATGGAGGACTTAGATTTGTCCGGCTCCAGCATGGACCTCAGTATCGCCCACGTCTGGCTAGTCCCTAGTGTACCGCGGAGAGAACCGCAAAACTGCACCCAACCATCGGTGGCAAGTTTCGTTGCGTATTCATTCGCTTCCTCCGACAGAGCAGCGATTCGCCTGTAGAGGCAGCGGTTGAGGCGTTGTTTTTTCCATCTCTTGATCAGGCGTCCGCCTACTATCCCACATGTGCAATAGGTGCCGGTCTATCGCAGGCGCCTCAACTGTGCGCGCTATTTTCTTAGAGGTGGCATCATGCGTTTCTCGAATGAAAGCAACCCACCCACTGACATCACAGGGCGTTTGCTCCGGCAGAGGGCGCTTTCGAAAGGTCACCCAGTCTGTCATCACAACGTCACCAGCGACACGACGAACTTTTGGTGATGCTATAGAGGTGCTAAGAATATAATGGTCACTACCAAGGTTTTCATCGAGGTTTGACCACGTGGCATTTTTAATGTTGAAGGTGAAGGTCAAATCAGGGTACGTGTCCCTGCTAATGCTATTACCAAGCCTGGTGGGTGCTGTTGGCAGAGTGATAAGGGTAAAACCTAATTTAGACGTGGTGTTCTCTAATAACACTCCCTTGGGTGAATCCCGGACGTAGCCCCAAGCGGTGCTCGGAGCATTAAAGTCGCCCACCACCACTAATTGATCTCTGGTGCCAACGGCTCGAACTGCCTCGTTTAGGAGTGGGCCGAAGTCGTCATTCCGGTTTTGGGAGGACTGTATATGTTTAAAATTTTCGTTCGTACTTTTCCTCGTTTTTGTGGGAAGACATCGATAATTTGGTGATTAATGTCAGTCTGATCGTAATGGTCTAGCGCAACTGTCATGAAGTTACTCACCAGCGCTGCAACGCGGGGGTATTTTGGATCGTATAATGTGTAATATCCCTGCAATTTGACGGGACGGTTCCCAACTTCTTGCAGGCATATTACATCAGGTGGGATTAGTGCCGAATGGATGTAATTCTGCAATGCCGCCGCTCGTTTGTGGAACGTGCGACAATTCCACTGCCAGATTTCTAGGTGGTCGGAGTTTTGCGTGGAATTAGTTCGCGCCATGGTGACTACTGCCTTTATTGGGGGGTGTCTGCTTTCTCCGTGATTCGACGGTCCTTCGGTAGTGGACTGCTCGCGGAGGTAACACTGACCCGCTTGTTGATGGCACGCTGAATGCCTACAACTGAGTCATTAACGTATCGTCTTTGTTGTTCCGTTTCTGCTGCAAACTCTTTCCTGTACTCCGAAAACATTTGATGCATTTGCTGCATCATCTGCTCTCGGAGTTCAGACGCTGCTCGTTGCTGTTGTGATTGGAGTTCTCGCATTAAGTTTCGCAAGCTCTGCAACTGTTCCCCCATCTGTAACTGGCTAACGTGGGCCTCCTCGCTAAACCTCTGAGGTATGTCTACTTTCGCCGTTCCTCCCTCCAAAGAGTGGGCTACGGTTGCCCTGGAGATAGCATGAGTGGCGTTGTTGTTCGCCTCTAAGGCGTTAAGCCTGGCTTCAAGTTTGGTTTCTAAAGATGATATGATTTTGTGAAACTCCCGGCGTTCCTCCTTAATCTGGCATCGAAGTTTCTCGTTTTCTAAAGCAAGCTGCTTATTCTCGGCAACCATTTTCTGATATTCGGGATTCTCAATTAAGGGAGCAGATGGAGACACAATCCTCGTCCAGCTCACCGTGTTTGCTGGCTGGCAGGCGGCTGCCTCCGTCCCCTCTTTGGGCGGCGAATTTCGCGAACCAAGACTTCTTCTGGGGTGACGAGGCAGCTCTCGAGTAGTCAGACCTCATCGTCCTGAAGTGCTCTTCCGTCTCCAATCTTTGTGAGCAGAGCCGAGAAGGAGGCATCAGATTGTCTGACGACTTGGACGAGCGGAAAGTAATCGAGGTAGTGCCATTTGATTGTGGCCCCGAAGAGCCCAACCGCTTCTCTGCACCTCTTGTACACCTCGTTTGCGCGGACGGGTGGTAACTGGCGCAAATCACCGCACATGATGACGTCGAGGCCTCCGAAGGGTTCGTCTAGCTTTTGGGTGATTTGCTTGAGGCGACAATCAATGGCATTGAGGTTATCAGACGACAGCATGCTAACCTCGTCAACGATGATGCACTTGACGTAACGGAAAGCAACTCGAAAGGTATTCAGTTCGCTGTCGCCCAATCCGAGGTCCTTCTTGTTGCGAGTGAGCTTGAAGGCAGAGTGCACGGTGGTTCCGCCTACAGCCACGGCCGCCTTTCCCGTGCTCGCGCAAATGACGAATGCATTGTATGGACCTGCATTATCGTTATAGCGGTTGTAAACGTCCATGACGAGCTTTAGGACAAACGTTTTACCACATCCCGCAGGTCCTGTCAAGAAGACGCGCAACGGAAGTGCTCCGAGTGTCGTTTGCCTGTGGATGATTTCTCGGAGCAACTCGCACTGCTCCGCATTCGTCATGCGCATGAGTCTGGTATATTCCTCTCTATCCATGACGTCTTGCCTTTTGCGCACGGCAGCACAGGGACTGGTGTCTTTGACGGCACGCATCAGGTCTTCGTTGGGCAAGAGGTTGGCGTCTTCGTCGGCGGGAACGGCGGCAACGACCGCGGCGTCAACGGCGGCCACATCTTCTTCTCGCTGCTGCTGTATCCTGTGCTCTTCAATCAACTGAGCCACGATGTCGTCGTCGTTGCCGATGTTGTATTAGCGATGTTTGGTAGCAATCAGGTCTTTGTTGGCCTCGAACGTCTCGAGGTATTTGTTACGATCGAGGACGTCGACAGCCTCGTTCCTGAACGGTACGTAAAGGAGGACCTGCTCTCTCATGTAATCCTCCGGTTGATCTGCGGCACTGTAATGGCGGTAGCGGATGATGATGGGGTGCTCGCGAAGACCGTATCCGCGTTTGTACTTGCTTGCAAAGTCGGCAAGGCAAACGTCTTCCATTTCGGGCGGCCTTCCCTCGTACCTCTGGACGATGTTGAGCTTCCAGACGTCGATGGACGAGGCGCCAACGTTTGCCAATTCCTCGTTGGTCTTGCGTACGCGCACTCGTTCCTCTGGGTAGCACGTGGGTATGTAGACGACCTCACGGCTCTTTTCCGACATTTACTGACCCAAGAGGAACCAGGCCGCCTCTTGCGCCAACATTTCGACCCCTTTGAGCATGGTCACTCCCAGAGAGCGTACGATGGCAGAGTATTCCATTTCTGGCTTTTCTTCTAGAATTTGCATTACGGCCTTGTGTAGGTTGGACATGCCGCGATCCGCCTTGTTGACGTAATCGACGACATACGTTGCACAGGCGTAGTGGTCTAGGATCACTTAAAGATCCATGTTGGAATCTAGGACCTTGGCGATCCAGGGGTTGAAGGGATTGACCATTTTTTGCGCCGGGGTGCGACGATGTAGAACGCAGGGACGCGTAAATCCGGCTCTCAAAATGTCCATGTATTCTGCGTCGGACCGAACGTCGAAGGTGGCGAGAAAGTCTTCCAACGAGACGAACGATTCCCTCTCCAAAGCGTCGTGCATCTTTTCGTACCGTTGCTTGAGTTTCTGACGATGTGCCTTCTCGGCCTCGTCCTCGGTCGGAGGAAAGGGGACTACAATCCTAGTGTCATTACTGGGCATGAACGGTGCTCCGAAACGGCACTTGGTGCGTCCCCGCCTATAGCAAGTGTGGGTATGAGCGTGCAGCTGGGTCCTGGGTCTCTTTAGAAGGTCTGTGTCGAGCGTGAGCAACGATTCGACCATTTCCAGCGTGCGCGGCATGTTGCCAGACACTTCCTCTTGCGGGGCGTTATCGAGCCACAGAATGGTGTGAATGTGTGCGCTACCACGCTGTTGGAATTCGACCCGCTTGAAGAAGTCTACCACAACATAGGGCTTGAACGGGGAGCATCTCTTATCTTTGAGTATGTTGAGAATCACATTGAAGATTCGATGGGTGTAAATTGCACACGCAACTGGGTCGTTATTGACCAGTTCGACGCGTTGCATGGAATTCAATTCTTCCAAGGCTCGTGCCACCCCTTCGGGACCCACTCGCAAGCGCTCCAACGTTTCGATGAGTCTGTCCCAGTGCAGTTCCGCGGCAGAGAGCGTGAGAAATGCGTGAGGCTTACCCAACTCGCGAATCATGGCGAAGAGTTCCTTTCTTCGATCTTGCCAGTATTGTACGGTGTTTGGTATGCCTCTCATGAAGCCGAGATCTCGGTTGAGGACTTCATCCATGAAATGTGCATTCTCAAGTTGCTGCCGCGTAATCGCACTGGTGATTGCGTAGGTCCTGAACGTCATGGTCTTGCTGGAAACGTTGTGACGCATGACCTTCATGGCCATGTAGAAGACGTGATCGGGGCACATTCCGCGACGATCGGTACGACGAATCTCGCTACTCGCCTTTGTGAAGGGGGTCGGTCTGGGTCCGGTGATTCTACGAGGTATACCGAGGTATATTTGAGGAAACGACAACTCTTCGGCATACTCGTCAAAGAGCAGAGAGATGGGAGTCTGCCCTTCACCGGGTGCCACGTGGAGACTGTGCGTACCTTCGATTAGACCTATTTCATCAGGTGAAGAATGCGCCGCCTTTCCCGCCACAGATTCCGCCGCAACGTCGCCGCCGCTGTTGACGCAGTTAGTGATGACGCAGGCTCCGTCGTCAAAGATTGTGGTATGCGCCATTGCGTTGAGTGCAATCGCCGCCTGCATAGGTTCTTCCAGGTCGGTAACCTCCGGCGCCGGCTCGATCTCGTCGTCGTCCACGTCACCGTCGTCTTGCACGTTCGCGAGGCGGCTCCAATCAATTTTGATTTTGAGGTACTTGTATAACGGAGAATGCTCGAGGTGTTTGAGCCACTCGTGGATGTTACGTTTCTTAACGAGACCTTTCTTATACGACGGTTTGCACACGAGCCGGCGCTTGAGATGAACGTCGATGGCCACGTCGTCCGGAACGTTCCGAGGTAGGCATTGAACCGTGTTGGGGACGTTTATCGGAACGTTAACCACTTGCCCCTTGATGCCGTACTGTCCGCTTCTGTGCGTCAACCGCCTTATGCTCATGAACGGTAGACGAGGAGCGATCAGTCGTTCCTCAACGGGGTTCAGAGGCGGCAAGTGATCCGGTTTGGGTGGGTACGTGTAGCCATAAGATACGCTCATTGGAGGCACCTTTCCCGCCAATAGCGAATTCTTGCAGCTCGAGCAAACATTGTAGTCACCGCCACTGCTGCTGCCGCCGTCGTCGGCGGGGAACTCGCGCCGAAGCACGGCGATGGCATTACCCCGAGCCTGGTCGTTCTTGATGGAAGATATCGTGACTAGACTGTTCGAGAACCACAGTCTGTCACACACACCACAGCTATGGCCAAACGAAACGTCCAGGAAGTCGCGCTTGAAACGCGCGTCGGCACCTTCGTGTTCTTTCTTGGCGCGTTTTGCAGAAGCCTCTCGAACTCTCGCTTCGGGGTTCGCCTGTCGATACACACGCTTTCTCGCCGCTTCCCGTTGTGTGGCATTCGGCAGGTCCTGTTCACGCCGCAGCCATGCCGCTGCGGCCTCTTTTTCACGTACGGCAGGATCTTGGCGGCGGCGTCGCGCCACTGCAGCCTCTCTTTCACGTACGGCAGGATCTTGGTGGCGGCGTCGCGCCGCTGCAGCCTCTTTTTCACGCACGGCAGGATCTTGGCGGCGGCGTCGCGCAGCTTCACGGAGCGCTTCTGCTTCGCGCGCTCGCACATCGGAATTCTGTCTGCGAGCGCGCGCTGCTGCCGCCTTGCGCTCTCTCCGCTGTGCAGCCTTATCCATCCGGCGACTCCGAGCGCGCGCCAACAGCGAACGGATTTTATTACAAAGCTCCCCCTAGCGTACGTCGCCGCACTAAATCGAACGATTGCCTTCAACCAATGACACGCGCCATATGTGACATCATTCTTATTTTATAAGATCTCGCGTCTTTCATCAACTACAAGCACCGCTTTCTAGTTTATAGCATATCTCTTGGACGGCGTGAAGGTTATTTTCGGACGCATGCGACTTTTTCTTTTTTCTTTGCGCTCGATGATTACATCGTTATGCAAACCCAATGACACGCGCCATATGTGACATCATTCTTATTTTATAAGATCTCGCGTCTTTCATCAACTACAAGTACCGCTTTCTAGTTTATAACATCTTGCATCTTTTCATCATCAGCTACAAGTAGCACCATCTAGTAAACACTACAAGAACTAAACGAGAGGTGGCTACATACAGGAGACGGTACCGCCATCTAGTGAACACTGCAAGAACTAAACTAGAGGTGGCTACATACAGGGGACGGTACCGCCATCTAGTGAACACTGCAAGAACTAAACTAGAGGTGGCTACATACAGGCTACACGGGACGCACAGCCCACGCCCTAAGGAGCTTCGCCTCTAAAAAGACGGATCCATCTGGTTCTGCGTTGACTACCGACGACTCAACAAGATAACGCGCAAAGACGTATACCCTCTGCCGCGCATCGATGATCCTCTGGACTGCCTACAAGGTGCAGAGTTCTTTTCTTCGTTAGATTTATGCTTCGGCTACTGGCAGGTGCCCATGGCAGAGGGTGACCGCCCGAAGAAAGCCTTTGTAACACCGGATGGACTATATGTATTCACCGTTATGCCCTTTGGCCTCTGCAATGCGCCTGCCACTTTCGAAAGGATGATGGATACCATCTTGCGAGGTCTGAAATGGAAAACATGCCTCTGTTATTTGGACAACATTGTGGTATTTTCAAGCGACTTTGCGACCCACCTCAGCCGCCTCGAGCAAGTTCTTACGTGCCTTTCCACGGCGGGACTTCAACTTAACTAAAAGAAATGCCACTTCGGCGTTCGCAAGCTTGTGATTCTCGGCCATGTAGTTTCTAAGGACGGCATTGTCCCGAACCCTACGAAACTTAAGGCAGTCGCGGCGTTCTCAAAGCCAACCACCATCAAAGAGCTTCGACGCTTCATCGGCCTATGTTCTTACTTCCGGGGCTACGTCCGCAATTTTGCCTCCATTATCGCCCCCTTGACCAATCTTCTTGCCAGAAGTTCTGACTTGTCAGCGTGGTCGCAGGCGTGTGAAGATGCATTTCAGGAACTCTGACGGCTCCTCACCACACCTCCCATACTCCGACATTTCGATCCGTCTGCTACAAAGGAGCTTCATACAGACGCTAGTGGTGTCGGGCTAGGGGATATACTGGCCCAACGCAAGGATGGCTTTGACGAGTACGTCGTTGCGTATGCCAGCCGCACCCTCAGTAAAGCCGAGAAGAATTACAGTGTAACTGAAAAGGAGTGCCTTGCCATTATTCGGGCAATCGGAAAATTTTGGCCTTATTTATATGGACGTCCGTTTGATATTGTAACAGACCACCATGCGCTTTGCTGGTTATCTTCACTAAAAGATCCTAATGGTCGGCTCGCTCGTTGGGCATTGCGGTTACAGGAGTTCGTGTTATCTACCATTCTGGCCGTAAGCATTCCGACGCCGATGCCCTGCCACGTTCGCCATTAGCTTC